GACACCGTTGTTTCAGAAGAGGTCTCCAGAAGCCAGTGTTGACCTCTCCTTGAGTAATTCATACCAGAACAAAGTTTGTGATGCAGATACTTGGTTACACGACTTTCTGGAAAGAGAGCAAGCATGCTCAGTGTGTCTAGCAGTCTGGTTTTAATCTTGGCACCTCTAGAGAATATTTTCAGGGAAAACATTTTAATAGTAAAAAGATTCTCTAAGAACAGCAGCACCCCCTCTCTGTCCACTGTTCTCTTGCCTACAGTAATGCTTTGCTAGAGCTACCAGACACAGACAGCGTGAGAATAATTTGGAACCAGCTATGTTAATCAGTAATCGTAATAGTATGAACTAACTTGAGAGAAGCTGCTAAATCCACAAGATGCCAATTATGTCTGAGGAGGCTTTAGAAAACACAGAGCCAGTTTGTGCATTTTTAAAGATAGAAAACCCAGAAGAATTGTTAAAAATCCAACCCTAAAGTTGTTTGGTGTTGGGGGTTTTTTTTAACATAAAGAAATCATACTTTGCCAAATGGTGAAAAATAGAGCAATCGCTCATAATCTAATGTTTAAAAGCAAAACTGCATATAACAGCCTGATGGGGCAAACATTTTTTGTTTTTAATAGCTCAGGGCAGGCATCTGTAAGAGATGGAGGCCCAGATGATCTATTAGGAGACAGGTTATAGTGGGAACTTGGGCTTGAAGCACAAATCTCCAGTTTGGATCCTAGCTCTGATTTTTACTAGCTGTTGTGTGACTTTGAACACATCTCTTAATTCCTCTTAGGAGCATTTTCCTTCTTGGTAGCTCACGGGATTTGGTCGTGATTAAATGCGCTAATGCCTGTGAAGACCCTGGCAGGTAGCCAGGGCTTACTTCTGCCAGTGCATTCGCAGCACGGATGCAGCTGCCGTGGCTGGACTTGGACTCATGCTTGGTTAAAGTCGCTTATGGAAACTAATAACTGTCCTTCATCCCTGAAGTGTGAATACAGTGTGACTTGTTCAATTTTCTGCCTCAATCAGGAATTTTTTGATCCTGTAATCACAACTCAGCATTGGCCTTAATACCCCTAAATCTCCAAAAAGGTGATTGAACAAAAGAAATACTGTAAGGTCCTTTCTCTTTCCTCTAACTGAAATCTATACTAGGAAGTCATAGGGTTTCAGGGAGTTTTGAACTGGCTTCTTGTATAATGTGTAACAATGGCCAGCAGGAGCACATGGTGGATTCTTCCTCCCCTACATCCTACAGTGTCCATCCTCCAGTCACTTTAAGTCATCTGCCCTTGATAAGCTCTCACAACTGGGTGAGTCACCAAGTTCTTTTAAACACAGTCCTCTCCCTCTCCCCCATGGGATGTGCTGAACTTGGGTTTGTGGTTGTATTAGTCCATTTTATGTTGCTATAAGAGAACACCTGAGACTGGGTAATTTATAAGGGAAAGAGGTTTATTTGGCTTACGATTCTGGGACAGCTGCATCTGACAGGGGCCTTAGGCTGCTTATACTCATGACAGAAAGTGGCAGGCAGCCGGTGGGTACAAGCAGATCACATGGCAAGAGGAAGCAAGAGAGAGAGAGGTGGGAGGTGTCAGGATCTTTTAAACAACCAGCTCTCATGGGAACATATAGAGTGAGAACTCACTCAGGACTGACCCCACCCAGGGAAAGCAATCCATTCATGAGGGTTCTGCTCCCATGACTCAAACAACTCCCTACACTGCCACATTGGGGATCAGATTTCCAAGAGTTCTGGTGGGACAATACATCCAAACTCCATCAGTGGTATAAAGAACTCGAAAGGAGAATTGTTATTCCTCAGAGCCATATCACCAGTCTTATCAAACAATAGACTATTAAAAGCAGTCAGAGTCACCTGGCAAAGCTCTGTGCATTCAGGGACTCTCCATGTGTGGTGCCAACCAGCAGCATCAGCATCACCTGGGAACTTGTTAGAAAAGCAAATTCTCAGGCCCCAGCCTGGACCAGCAAACCAGAAATCCTGGTGCTGGCCCAACACACGCTAACTGTATTAGCAAACAAGTTCTTCAGGTGACTCTGATTCCCAGCCAAGCTTTAGAGTCCCTGCTTCTTACAAATGAGGAAACAGGTAGAGCAGTTGAAGTCCTTGTTCAGTTTCACAGTTGATCCATGGCAGAGCCGAAACTAGAGTGGACAATGCCTGTTCCCTAAAACCTGGAAGAGTACCCCTGCTCGAAGCTCCTTAAGCACTGGGCAACTAAAAGCATCCCTGGGAGGCAAGAATGCAAGTCAGGGAAACTTGCAGTGCTCCGTGTCCCATGTCCCATGTCCCAGTGCCATTGGTGTCATGAAAAAATCCCCCTCAAATCTCTCCTTACCGTTATTTCCTATAGGAGGCCTTCTCTAATGAAGAACGCCCCTTAGAACTCCAATGTTTTAATATATCTGCTTATAAATGTCCAAGTTTCCTCACCAATCCTCTATGTTATTCTTTTTTCCCAACTCAATGTGCTTTCTTAAAAGCAGCAACCATTCGGCTCCCTGTTGTTCTAGATGCATCCAATGATCAAGAAATATCATTGGCCAATGGCAGAAATTTGATCAATCAAAACACATTCTATTAATATAAGAATATGTTCTCTTATAAGATGTCTTTAATAGGCACTCATTTATTTCCTTTAAGTTGTAAAAGTCAGGATGTCAATAGAAATACATTTAATACATTTAAACAATAGAAATACATTAGTTACTGCCTAACTAATGCAAGAGCTTTTGAAATCTTGCCCACCTCCAGCCCTGTTTTTCAAAAAGTAAGTAGTAGATGGTTAAGGGAGTAGGGTCTGACTTAAATGAAAATATTTAGTTCTATATTAATTTATTGCAGTCACAGACACATTGTCTTTGTTGAAATCAAGACTACTGAGGAGTAATTTGTAAAAATTTCTATAACCCAAACTTTAAAAAGTTTATATTATGTTATTAAAAATATGGTATAATATACCCAAACGCATTCCAAATAAATTGCTGATTTTTTGAAAAAAATAAGATACGTACACTGAAAAAACATTTTCCAAAAAATATTTAGGAGTCACTCAGCCTTGAAATTGCCAGCAATTCAGTGTCATATGTCCTTGGAGAACCTTCCTTGCGGTTTCAAAACAATAAAACCTGTGATGGAGAAATCAGCCTTGAAATTAATTAGATCACCTGCCTGTTAACTGCTAAACTGGGGGAAATTTAATCACGGGAGATGAGAGTTGATTTCTTACAAGGGATCAATTTATTAAAAATGTAGCTGATATCTTAAAACTTGAGTAAGTTTCAAATTATCTCCAAAGTAAACATTTCTAAGTTAAAAGTGGTTATTTCCAAAAAGAAAACTTAAAGTAACAGCCTTGGCTGCAATGACGTGGAGCGGGGTCGTGTGCATGTGTTACTCTTGTACTGTGACTACACTCCGGTAGCTCAGTGATGCTCACACAAAGTCTGCTAGGTTT